TCCTCTTGGCTGAAGAGTTTGGCCATTGGTATGGAAACTTTCCCTGGGCAACGTTTTCTTTCTTTGCTGTTACTGACATGAGGTACTTTTCTCTAACCCTAGAAAGTGACTTGGTTGATTCTTGGAGATACTATGTAGGTTAATTGAATGTAATTAAGCTGGTTAAAGTGGCATCTGGCTTACTTCTTAATTATGTGGTAAGTTACTTCTGGGACACTCTTTCCTCATCCCTAAGATCGTACCAATAATAACAAACCCATAGGCTGCTGAATAGATAACATTCAAAGGGTGTTGACTAGGATAACGTCTTGTATATGAAACACACTCAACGATCGTACACCACCACCACCACCACCATCTCTAACATTCAGGTCTCTTGATCTGACTATGTGATGCTTTATCTGTACAATATTGTCATATTTTGATCACTCCTTTGTAAAGCAGAAGGAGTGCTGGCAGATATCATTTCCTTCAAGTACCATTCCACCAACTTAAATATTGTGGTTCTGAGGAACAATCCAAATGTCTTTGCACATGCTTTCACTTCTTTATGAGTGTCCACCTGGGATCCAGCATTTACATAAAAGTCCTTAAATTGACCTTTAGAGGTGGAATGTTCTCTCTTTCCTTAATGTTTTAGACTCCCTTCTGTGCTCAGAAGCTGATGAAATCTGAAATCTGCCCATTTTGTGCTTTTGTGGAGGAAAACCCAGTTTAAACACTTAATTTTATTGGTGACTTAAACCTTTGTTTGCCATTTTCTTTGCAAGGAACTCTGAGATTTTGAAAGCAGCCCTCTGCAAATAAAAACATCATGACCAGACTTCTCAGCGCTCTCTGTGTGGATGGATAGTTTTGCAAATGGAAAAAAATGGTGCATTTTCTTGATTCCAAGTAGCTGAAATTTGACTAGAAAATCTTAGCAGCCCCAAGGCCATGTAATTTAGTGCTCCTGACACTATTCAGCCATCTGCCAGTCACTTCCCCAACCTTATTGCTCTTCCTCTACAGCCCCATTTGGAGACAGTAAAACTTCGATTACCTAGAATAGTCAGAGTGAAAAAGATTCTGAATAAATAAATTTTCCGGTTCATTAGGTAATCATCCTGGTAGAAAAAGATAATTGGGCAGACCTATCTTCGAGTTCTGTCACTGCTTTTTTTAAGTACGTCCTTGACCAAGTCACTTCATTTTCCAGGGTCTTTATTACTCCAGCCAAGAAATGGGAATGGAAATGCAAACATTTCAAGGTTACTTTGTGGATTAGAAACAAATTTGTAAAGCATATGGTGTATAATCGGTGCTTGGGATGAGTGGGTTCCCTTCCTTTTTTCATTCATTCAACAATTCATTGGATAGTGTCTGGGTGCCCAGCACATTCCTGGGAACTGGGGAGAGAATGTCAAACAAAACTCTATTGCCCATGCCCTTACGGAGTCTAGTGATAAAATATGGTATGTTCTAAGATGGGGAAGTTTAGGGTGTTTTAGAAGTCCATAGGAGAGGAATCTAACCCAACCTGGATTAGACATTATACCTGGGATCATAGATGATGATTCTCATCATCATGGTGATGGTCATGATGGTGGTCATGATTTTGATGATGATGATGATGATGACATTAAGTGACGAGACAAAGTCTGCATAGCTGGTAAGTGTCAGTCTCTTTCAAACTGAGGCTCTTTCTAACTCCAGAGCCCAAGGCTCTCACCAGCTCTCCCCAAGCTCATGGAGCTTGAGGATTTCTTCCAAAGTGGACTAGGAATGAAATTTGGAGCATTCAAATCCTTGTACTATGATGACATTTACTATTGCCCCCCCTTTTTTAAATAATCCAAGGGCACTGTTTTCAATATTTTATAAATTCATTTAGGAAGAAGCCTGTGGATTAACAGTACCACCTGTATCAAATGCCATGTGCTTGAGACCACATTATTACGAACACTTTCTCTGACCTGGAATGGATATGGGCTGGCAACCATGTTTTCATGAGTCCAAGAGGACTTTGACAAAGAACCTGTGAAATGGGTGTTAGTGAGATTCAAACCTGGCAGTGACCAACTCTCTCAAGATTGGATATGAACATCCTCAGGAATCAAAGCATCTCTTGCCTAGACTATAAATTCTGTGGCTGAGGATGACAGCACATGGGAGTGTGCAGGCAGGGGGAGCCCACAGGTGTGTCATTGTGCAGCTTAAATGTTAACAACATGACAACAGCTTCAAACATGGCAGAGAGATAACACAGACATAAATTAAATCAGCCAGCCCAGGTGGGCTCCCTCTACAGAGACTCAGAAACTAGAGATAAGACCCAGGAGTTCCCTCTGAGGTTCAGCCTGAGGAAACCAACATCCCCACCACCCTTGAATGCCCTCCAACAATCTGGCAACACAACAGGCTGTCAATCATTCAATGAGGAAAACTGGTCCTGATATGCTCAGTGCTTAAAAAGAATGGGGTTGATACCAGCTATAAATTGATGGGAGGCAGCCCGAACACCTACATAGGTGATCACAGCCAGAATGTAGTGGTTTTCATGAAAATGTAAAAGCCCATATTCCTGATCCTGGCATCCGCAGCCCTCTGATGAATTTCAGGTTCATTTCTCAGCTCCCTTCTTCCCCAAACACACCAGTCCCTTTAGCTGTCACTGCTCCGTCTATATGAGAGGCCTTATCAGATTGTATTACACTGTTGACCTGCTGCCTTGCCTACCTGTCTGGAAGAGCCTTAAAGGTAGAAACTCTATCTTATTTGTCTTTTTAACTTGAACCATAGTAAGACCAATGGAGCTTCCGTATTCTGGCCCAGGTAGCATGTTCTCAATATTTTATTGTTGAATGAAGGAAGGAAGGGAGGGAGGAAGGGAGAGAGGAAGGATGGGAGGGAGGGATGCCAGCTGTTTGCCCCATGGAATGGACCACCCAGCATGAAGCATGGCAGTCACCCCGACCATGGAATGCACTCCATTCACTAAGATCACCCGATGGAGAAATGTAAAGCCAGTTCTTGCTCATTCAGCCTTGTTACAGAAGGGGACATTAACTGTCTCTCTCCTCAGTTCCTTCTCCCTAAGTACAGACAGGCCCTTCACTCCTGCCAGCCCATCCCCCCCCACCCTCCATCCCCCAGGAATAGCCATGGTGAGGAGGGGTCTCTTTATTTCTCATCCCTATCTAAGTACCAAAAAGACTGTTTGCTCACCTTAAGGTGCCTTACAACATGGCAAACCTTTCCCTGGATTCAAAATTTGTCTCAAATCTTAAACCCCCATTTCCAGGGCCTTCGCTCTACACTCCCCACCTCAATCCAAACACACTAACTCTCTCATGAGCATCTCTCTCGGCTGTTTCCCCTGATGAGGGGAGCTGTTGTAAACTAAGGCAAGGGCTTTTAGCTTGGTGAGCCTGTGGTCATGCAGTTTGTGGATAGCCTTTAGGATCCATAATTGCCCTGAAAGTGAATATGAAATCTTGTACGAGATTGTGCCAATCAATAATCAGTTTCCTGGCTTTGATGAGGTACTGTGGTTCTGTAAGATGCCGCACTGGGCGAAGCTGGATGAAGGGTACTTGGGATTTGTCTGATTATTTTAAAAACTTCTTGTGAATCTCTCAGTAAGTCAAAGTAATAAAAAGTATTTAAGAATCTCATGAAGCAACCAAATACATAAAATAGAGAAAAAAGAATCTTATGCATGTACCTCTTCATTTTTCAAGGAGAAGATTCATATCTTTCCTCCATGTCTTAAAGTGGAATTTGATCCACAAAATTTTATAAACATGGATATAACTACTTACACAGTTCAGAGCTTAGTGCCTTTATCCCTCACCATTGTATGTTCTCTTGTGAGCTGTCATTTGTCATCACCAATGTCTACTTCCACACTAAGTGGGGGTGGAGGGAAGAGAGGAAAATTCTTTGTACTGCAAAGACTAATTCCATACTCATATTTCTCTGATACTTTATTGTATTTAACAGAATTTCTCTCTTGTTTGTAGCCCTGAGTTGTGTTTCTGAAGATCCTCCTTTTAATGTCTTAGGTTTGAGTTGATAGTGAGCCCTGGTTTAGGAGTCAGAATAAAAGTTAAGCAAAAATAAACTCACTTTTGGTGCTGACCTTTCTGGCTTTAGTCCCAGAGGCTCTGGGCAACTTGCAAGCAAATCCTGGTGTTCAATTTCAGAGCCACCCAGAGTTCCCAGGTCTCTTCGTCCAGTTAGAAACATGGCAACCCATGGCTCCTATCCCATGAAAGAGGGAGCATGGCAGCTGTGTTGGATTCAGAAATTGGCTGGTCCTGGAGACAGAGGAACTAAGTTTGAGTTCTGGTTCCAAGAGCTATTAGCTAGGGGACTTTGGACAAGCCACTTAATATCTCCAGGCCTCAATTTCCTATCTTCCAACTGAGAAAGGTAACATTACCCTCATGATATAATCATGAGAAATGCATACAACAGGCATGTGAAAGCACTCTGAAAAGTCCAAAATAAGACACAAATGTGAGAGATTATTATTAAGGAGAAATATGGGGAAAGAAACGATCTGGACATGGGATCTGGAAATAGGCCAAACCTGTGCTATGTCCTTTATAATTGTTACCTAATTAAAAACACTGATGGCCAGAATCCCAGACCCTAAGCAAAGGTAAGATGTATCTCTGTCATAGAAGGTTTTGATGTATTTCCACATGGAGGAAAGTGAGTGGACATACTGACTTCCTTAGACCCAAGGGTAATCCTAGCCTAGCCTAGCCTAGCCTAGCCCAGCCTAGCCTATCCATTCATTCAGTATTCATAGAACATATACATAGCATCAAACCATGTGATACATGCTAAGATATGGAAACCAATGAGACACTGGTCCCTTCTCTCTAAGAGCGGAAAGTTTAGTATGGGGGACAGGAACTATTCCTTTCTAGGGAAAAAGGCAAAATAAAATCAAAGAAAAGCAAGCAGCTTTAGGGGATTTTGTTTTTAAAAGAATCATTACCAACATCCAGAGTGTTTTGGCCATCAGTTCACACAGCAATCAATCTTCTAAAATCTAATTCATCTCCATCTGCAGGCTTGGATGGTGAGCATTTCTGTAAAGATGGAAGAAAGATTCAGTTCTGCTCACCAGACACCAGATAAGAAGTAGGTGAATAGTTTGTTTTCTTTTGCATTGTCATGTTCAGAGGATGCTTTTTCAGATATGTTATTTTTATATCAAAGCAACTGCATGCACAGAGTTAAAAATATCAATCTGCTTTATATGAAAAAGTAGAGGTCCTCTTTCCCCATGTCTCCTCATTTTCTCTCTTGGATGCCTTCCCAAAGGCAAGGATTTTTAATGGCATGAAGTTAGTGCTATATTTCTAAATATGCACCTGTGGCTATTTCTCCATGAATTTCCCCCAGGCTTTATTGATTAATTTCCCTCTTTGGGAAGATAAGATTTTCATTCTCTTTTATGGGGATGAGTTCTTTCCCCAATCTCAGACTAAAATGAGGGTTCTGTGGTTCTCAGAGCCTGCAGTGCATCTCTGGAATCCCACACAGGCTGTTCTCACCTTGAGAGAGAGAGAACTTTGACTTGGCCAGTGTTGGCAGGTTCAGACACTCAAGCAACCTTCCCATGGGCACTGCTGGCTCTTGCTGTTTTCCAGTTGGAATTGCTCGGGAACCAAGCCTCCTGGGATGTAGGCTGGCATGGCAAATGCAAAAGAACTTTCAAGATGGAAAACCATTGGGCTGGAAGTCCAAGGATAGCTCTGGGGACCCTGGTGGTAGAGGAGGAACTGAGTGGGTGGTAGTTGGGATTTGGAACAGAGAGAAGATGGAACATCTGCACAGGCCCTGGCGAGGCTCAGAGAGGAGAGGGATGACAACCAGTCACTCTTAGGGATGAGACCTTCACATATGATAAGGAGCCCTGGGGACGCTGAGGGATTATTCAGTGTACCCTGCTGGGACAAATGCTGGCTAGCAATTTGGCAGAGACTCAGGTTGATCCTCACGTAAGATTTCACACTGAAAAAAGAAGAAAAAAGAGTAAAAGTCTTCAAATTTTTAGTAAAAATATGGCACCAGAAAACAATAAAATTGAACATTTATTGAGGTGCTGAAACAGAGAAAACTGGGAGTGGATAAAATCACAAAATAAAAGATATATTTAATTATATACATATTTAAAATATATATAATACATTATTATAGTATATGTCTTATATCTGACATATATATTCCCACGTGGAGGGATATAGAATCTCTATGTATCTCGGTATCTATATCTTATATACATATATATACACACACACACATATATATATCCAATATATATCTAACATATATAATATAGAGCGATATTTATATCTTTGGTTTAAAAAATGTTAAAAGAAAGCAAAATGGGACAATATTCTGAGCAAAGACCAAGCCTCGATATTCTTTTTTTTTTTTCCAAGCCTTGATATTCTTAACATCAAAGAGCTTATAAAACCATTATGAAAATCACTAAGCTCCCGAAAGCTCAAATAGCCAGAAAATAAAAATCACAAAGAGGAAACAAAACGGCTTTAAAAACATATGGGAAAATGTTCAACCTTGCTAGTAATCAAAGAAATGTAAATTGAAATGGAGATACTATTTTCAGCCAGCAAATGTGTAGCATTTTTAAAAAACAGGAATACCCCAAGTGAAGGGGGTGTGGTGAAATTGCCACTCTCCTGCACTGCTGGAGGCATTGTGAGTTTGTACAGCCCTTTTGGAAGGCAGCTTGGCGGTGTGCATCAAGAGCCTTAAAAATATCCATGCTTCCTAATCCAACAATTCTACCTCCGAGGCGGCGATTGTAAATGCAGTCAAAGCTTTTTGTGTGAAAAAACTTCATTGCAGTGTGGGTTACCACGGTGAAAAGGAGAATGCAGTCTACATGTATAGCAAGAGGAGGAAACGATGAAGTCAATGATGGAGTCCATTGGCTGGGTTATTAGAAGTCATAGTAGTGAGTCAGACCAACCTGGCTTATCTTCTCTGAGCCCCCGTGAATGCTGCGTGCATTTCTGCCTGTGCTTCCTTAGCTGTAAAATTGAACTAATGGGCTCCTGCAGGGTGATTGTGAGAATCTGGCTCAGGATTTGGTACATGGACCGGGGGGTGCTTTTCTTATTTCTCACTCTTCCCTGATTTAGCACCTGGCACTGGTGTTCCAAGGGGTAGGATAGATATTCCTGTGTCTCAAAGGATTCCTAGTCAAAGGATTTCACCAGAGATAAAAGACTAAAGGGTTTGGGGGCTTGGAGGTGCATCTGGGTGCAGCCGCTGTGTAAATGCATGGGGAGGGCTTCAAGTACCCCACTCGCCACCCCTTGTTCCTCTCCTGAAATGCTCCCACTTCAGTTGGGATTGAATAGATGATTTTGTGCTAGATTCTGAGAGTGCGGCTAGATGTTGCAGAGATGTTTGGGATGCTGAGATGAATAAGCTGGTCCTTATGCTCAATGAAAAGTTTTCTCTTTTTAATACTCATGCTTTGTAAGATGCTTAGTAGCACATCATGTTCTCCATGTACATGAGAAAGTGAAGAGGCTCCCCTCCGTACTGTTAGTGGTCTTGTTTCCATCCTCAAGGTTAGAATATTTTCCCTTTTCCTATGATGGGCACAATTCCTGGTGATGTTTCTTTCCTAATGAGCTAAAATGTCTTCAAATCAATCCTGGGCATCCTTTAATTAAAACAAAACAAAGCAAAACAAATCGACACGCAGCTAGAATAAGTAAAAATTCTTGGATGAACCACCATCACTAGCTTTGTGACTCATTCATCAGTTATGTGCTGAAAACTTATTAGGAAGCCAGCTGGACTCATAATACTAGTTTTACCCATCACTTCCTTTCTCTGTACCTCAGTTCCCCATCTATAAAAGAAGGAAGGAAGGCAAATGGCCTCTTTCAGCTACAATGTTCTGTGCATGTTTTAAGCAGAGGACACAGTACTGCAGAAGTCCCAGGGGACAATGTATTTGAGGCAGAATGGATGAAGAGAATGAATAAAGGAGGCAATTGCTGAAATAAATCCGTAGAGGTAGGTGAGACTCTGTGACCCGAAAAGGTGAGGTAATGTGCCCAAAGCCATGTACCGTGTAAAGAGGGGATCGAGGATTTGATCCCAAGTCCAAGTAACCAAAACCCATGCCCCTGCAATCACCGTAGACCTGATGAGACTTGACCTCTAGAAAGCTCCCCTCTCCAATAGCAAGGCTGACATTTGTCACAAGTTAGCTATAGTTGGATGCAAGGGCATTGGAATCAGACCCTGAAAGGCTGACCCAATTATCATCACTCTACGTGCCACAGAAAATTTGAAGCCAGCCACATTGGGAGGAAATGTTTGCTGGGCTCTGATAAGGGCTTACATGGAGAGATGCCCTGCCTTACTCACCAGACTCCAACAAAGTCCAACTCTTTATTTGATGAAAAATAGTTTGCCTTCCACTTATATTTCCCTTGATGGTGAGGGTCTGCAGGCTGAGCCAAGGAGTAGGACTGTATAGCATTGGGCTAATGTGTTCCACATGCTATAGAAATGCACAGACGTAACAGGGAGGGTGTGAGTACACTATTGCAATTCTCCAGGGCACCTCCACTGGGTTTTTGAAACGAGACCTTTTCGAGGCAAAGCAGACTTAGAAACAGAATGTACCTTCCTAATGACTTTCCCTTAGGAGAGTGAGGAAGGAGAGGAGAAAATGAGGGAGATAGAATGAGCTTTGCAAGAAGGTATTTATAATTAAATTGCATTTTAAAGGGAATGTAGAAATCCGTGCTCTGCAAAGAAGCAAGGTGGAGAGAAGCCAGCAAATTGTAGTAGAAAGTTCGAAAGTGACACAGGCTTTGGAGTCAAGAAGACTTAAGTTGAAGTGTTGATCTGCAATTATCAGCTGTATGACCTTGGCCAATTAACCCAGCTGGCAATCAATGTCTGAAAATAAGGATGATATACTTGCACGTTGCAGAGGTTGTGACACAGAAGTCACTGAATGGATTTTTTTCTCTGTCTCATTAACCAAGAAATATGTACAGTAAACAGAAATGGGTAGTGGCAGAGCACCCTGGAGTCATAAAAGTATGTCTCTAATTAGAAGCATGGTAGTTGGCACCTTGGAATCACCACGAGCCTTCTTAGAGAGGAAATCAGTTTTCATTGGAAGTAGCATCCCCTAAAGAGAGAAGGAAGAGGAGGAGTTTCTGGAGCCTCACTTGGGAAGCAGATCATGTGGTCTCATTCTCTTGGAAAGGGGATGCATATAAGCATTTGGATCCATTCTCGGGGTTTAAGAGAAAGAGTGAACTGACCACTGACCTCAGACCCTGAGATGGGAAATGAATGGGACTGTTGGGTTATGTGGATAGCAGGGGTATGTCCCAAGTCCGACAGTTGAATGACATGCTTTGTAATGGAGCTCACATTTGGGCAGCCTTGGCCAAGCTTAATTCAGAAAGAATGAGATTAAAAACAAAACAAAACATAGTGGGGATCCAGGAACTGTAGCGCCAGTGTAGACAGAGAGGACAAACATTATCTGTTAGACTCTGTAGCACAGTGATTCTCTTGGCCTGTAGAATCATCTGGAAAGCTCCGAAAACAAACATTTGTTGTGAGCTCTACCCCAGGCCCATTAAATCAAAATCATCATGTGTAGCCAAGCTTGAGAACCACAGGTGTAGACCAACTTTTAAAAAGCATTTGGGTTGTTTTCAGTTTGGGGCTATAATGAATAATATTGCTATGAACATCTGTGTGCAAGTCTGTGTGGACGCTGGTAAGTAGATAGAAAAATGTAGTCTATCCATATGATGGGATACTTTTCAGTGATTAAAAGGAGCAAGCTACTGACACCTACTGTATCACAGGTGAGACTCAAAGACATTCTGTGAAGTGAAAAAGAAAAGCAGACCCAGAGACAACAGCTTGTACAATTCTATTTCTATGACATATTCAGAAAAGATAGAAAGAAGAGTAGATTAGTGGTTGCCTGGAGCTGGGGGTAGGAATAATGATTACCTGCAAATGAGCATGGGGGAATCTTAGGAGGAGTGCATGTTTATGCATGCATATGAGAGTGCTCTCAAACTGATTTATGATGCTAGTTCCACCACTTGGGTAAAGTTACTAAAAATCATCAAAGTGTATAATTGTAGAGGATGAATTTCATGATATGTGAACTATACCTCCATAAAGTCATTTATAAAAGCAATTCAGTGAGGCAACAAGAAACAATGGTGGTTGTGGATTGTTTAAAAGCCAAGGATTTTCCTGGAGCGCCTGGGTGGCTCAGTGGGTTGAGCATCTGACTCTTGGTTTTGGCTCAGGTCATGATCTCATGGATTGTAAGATGGATCCCTGCATCTGGCTCTGTACTCAGCAGGGAGTCGGCTTGAGATTCTCTCCCTCTGCCCCTCCCCCCATCTGTCTCTCAAATAATTTTTTTTTTAAAGCCATGGATTTTCCTGTTTGAGTGTGAAGCTGAACAATTACCTTACTCCCTCTACCTCCACCATGGGTCGAACTGCATAGAACCCTCGTTCCTTCTGCTGTGTGTGAAATGGGTGGGGAGACTCAATGAGAGGATTCCCAGATGTTTTGCCAATCTAGTAGGTAGGGTCTCTAAGATTACCTGGAAAAACAAAAGTATCACCATACTTGCAC